TAATCTTTAACAAACAGTTGTAAAAGAAAACCAATGGTATAGACGAAGAATAAGTCTTAGCGGCTGAGCTAAAATGCAGCCTAAGGGCAGAACAGAAGACGAGTACAACAGACGCCCAGCATAGTTCAGCAAACATGGTAACTTATAATAGCAATCACTATCACATTGACATGGAGCAAGCATAAAGAGAATACAAACAAGGAACCATACCTGATGATCTGAGATTTTGACGACGACCAAGAAGAAATCATTGTCAACTTCTTTGGTATCCTTAACCCCAACAACCACATCCTTCTTCATCTTAGATAACTTGGGATCATCATCCTCCTTTATCTCAGTCTCAAACCACCCTTCCTTGAACAATCTCACGCACACATCACTAATCTGAAACGCTTCAAAATGCACATCCGCACTCATATCATCATTCACCTCAAGTTTAACAACCGCAGTAACCCACTCTTTCAATCCACTCTCAGCATGGTACTCCGCAGCCTGAAGCACCTCCCTATTCGACAAAGTATAGTCCTTCTTGTCCTGGCTTATCGTCTGCGTGAAAATGAACCCTACCCTTCTCATCCCCAACCCCGCCGCAATAGCCTCCACGAGTTTCTCCTCTTCGGGGTCTCTGAAAAACAAGAGATTCTCTTCCGAACCCTGCTGCGGCGGCTCGTAGATAAAGTCCACCTCGACCTTCCCCTCCTCGGAAACAGTGCCGTACATGAAGCCGCCGCGCTTGACCGCGAACGCCAGCGTGTCGTTCACGTAATGCTGGAACGCGTTGGCGCAGTCGCGGTCGAAGGAGACGAGCTCGCAGTGCGGATTCTCCTGGCGCGTGACGCGCATCTGCTTGGCGATGAGGTCATCCATGGTCATCTTGCGGCCGAAGGACCCCGCTGGGTTGAAGGCAGGGCCCGCCACGTGGCGCTCGCCTTCGTATGTCAAAAAGACGATTGAGCCGTGGGAGAGGTTGAGAGACGAGAGAGTGAGGTCGGGATTGGCCATATCGGTGAATCGATGGAGATCTTCACGCGATTTCACCAATAGAAGGTTCTGGTTGGTGGAGAGGGTTTGGTTGTGAACCGGAATTCTCAATTGGGCTTCGATAATCCGTTTCAGCTCCGACACTGTGGTGGTGTGCGGGTTTTCGACGATTACTCGCTCCAGGCCGTCGCGGCTTCGAAGTCTGAGCATCATGGTGACGAATTGAGGGTTGCTTATGTTTGGGATTTGCGTTTGAATGTGGAATTAGGGTTATATAGAAAATATTTAGGAGTGAAATTGGGGAATAGAATGTAGAATGACTGATGGCTTGTGGAAGTAGAAAAGGTGCAGGGAAGCAAAAGAGGTTTGAGGGTGAAGAAGAAGGAGGGTGGTGTGATGATGAGAGTGACAGATAGTAAAATACATATATATAGCCCCACTTCGCTTGTATTGGGCCTTCTCTTATATCTCCAAATTCATATTATTTCATTGATTTTACTGTTTTATTCCGTTATACAAGATTGAAGATTTTTTTTTCATATTCTTATATTTTTTTAATATTATTCAAATGCATTACATCTGCATTAACATTTTAGAAAAATATTATTCCAAAACAGTTAAAATCTAATTCCAAATTATGCGTCAACAACATTCTGGATTCTTAGTTACTAAATCAAAACTTTTCTAAATTGTATAATTTATTTCTTTTAATAAAATACTGGCACGTGTATTTATATTTTTTATTACATTAAAATAATATAATTTTAAATATATGTACACATAATTTTGTGAAAAATATATTGAAAAATATTAAAGCAATATAATTTAATATATATGTGTGTGTATATATATATATATATATTTTGTGAAGGTGATATTAAAATTTTTATATGTAGTCACTATCTTGAATTAAAAATTTATTTGATTATTTTTTATCTATTAAAAGATTAGACTGTTTGATGAAAAGATAAAAATAGTAACAATGAAATCTATCTTCTGTATAGATTAATAAATAATTTTGAAAGAAATATACATATTTTTAAAAGTTATTGGGAAGATGCAGAAAAGAGTTGCAAGCAGAAACCTTATTTCAGTCTTTCTGTTTAGTTATTATCCTTTTTATATAACAGAATCAGTGAAGAGTAAATCTTAATTTTGATGCTCTTCATGCTTTGAAATAAGATTTCGATTTTTTAATTTCTTTTACGAATTTGATCATCATATTTGTAGAAAAGTCTGAAACTTGATTTTTTTTTTCTCATTTTCTGTCATGTGCTATATTTATTTTATTTTCATCTAACTTGTTTGTTTATGATATTATTAAAAAAAACTAGTTAGTTCAAATATAAATATAAATATATAAGTATAAAACAAAATCAAAATTGAACCAAAATTATATTTAAAAAATATGAAAATAAAAACTGTAAAAAATCACATGAAAAATAAAGAAATATCAATTTGTAATCGATGGGAAGAGAAAATAACTATCTAATCACAACAACAAAAATAAAAATAAGTATTATACCAAGAGGGATCTTCTAAATCTTTATTCTCGTCTTATTTTGTTGATATAGTATGCTTTTGCATTAGGAAAATGAACGAAATTAAAAATCAACTACTCTACATGTTAAATATGTAAGTATAGATAATATATATATATATATATATATATATATATATATATATATATATATATATATATATATATATAGAGAGAGAGAGAGAGAGAGATGAGAGATGAGAGAGAGAGAGAGAGAAAAGATTATAATATAATAAATGTGTTTTATATTATAAGTTTTGTATTAAGTGTGATGCTTTTATATATTAAAAAATGGTTTAATTATATTCAAAAGACATGATAAATTTTCGTATTTTTAGTTGTTATTCTTAAATTTGTGTGATAAATTACTACTCAAAAATGTTGATATTTTTTAAATTAAATTATTGTTCATCGTTTCTAGTTGAGACATGATTATTTTTTTTTAATAAATATAAAGTTTTATTATCAACAAGATTAAATATATGAAGGCGAAATTAAAATTCGTATATTTATTAAATTTTAATACATTTATAAACTTTAAAAATAAATAAATATACTATTTTAATTCAATTATATTAAATTTGATCATAATTTAAATAATTTAAATTATTTTATTTATATATTTTTAAAATTTGAAACTAAAATATATTAATATTTGAATCATAAATGAATTTCAATTTTGATTCAAATTTATGAATTATAGATATATTTAATTTTTACTAACGATATTGTTATTAATGTAAAATAAGAATGTGTACTAAATAATAAGATTGTTATACTCATACATTATTTTCATGTTATGTTTACAACAACTAAAGACTATCATAAAATATAATAATATTATTATCCACAAATTTTCAATAATAATATTTATGTTGTATAATATCATTTTGTATTAGAAAAAAAAACACTCATCTATCTTAACGTATAAAGAAAAATAAAAAAATATAAAATAAAATAATAATCACACATGGTTAATTGAAAAGTTAAATGAAAAGAATTTAATTGAAAAATATAAAAAATGTTAAGTATTTAGAGAAAATTTAATATAAATTTAATTAAAAGTATTAAAATTTATCATAAACGTAAAACTTAGTTAAACATTTTCAATTATAATAACTTTATTATGCATAATTAAACTATTTAATTAATTAATTTATTAAAATAACAATGTCGTCTTTAAATAAACCTGTTTATTTTTAATATTTGAAGGAATTTACAATTTTAACGTGTCAAAATTATATATAAAGAAAAGTAATTTTGTCATATTTTATACTGCATTATGTCATTAGTTTGTTCTTATGAAATATATATGCAATTATTGTATGGTATAAATTAAAAGTAATGTTAAATCTTATTATATTTTACTGCGCAATGAATATTGCAGTACACATGAACAAATATTTGTAACAAGAGTGGAAAAAATAAATATGAAACTGAAAATAGCTAAAAGAATTTTAAACGATGATGTAAAATAATACTAAATATTAAGTGTATTTTAACTGTTTTAGATCCTGCACATTTATCTTTTAAATAACTTTTAAAGCCACATACTTTATTTTTCTCTGTCAGTTATTAATATCTTTAAACCAGCTTGGAGAAAAGTAAAAATATAGTAATATATAATTGTTCATCTGAAAAAAAATGTCGAACTCTGTTTTTTTTTTATCAAACCTCATTTTTCTTGTTGCCTTGTTTGAGAGAATGAAATTTTAAAAAATATTGTAATGCTGGTTTAAAATTGTAATTTAAAAGGAAAATTAAATGTTGGTTTAAAGTTGTAATCTTTTATTACTGTTTTTTTTTTCAATCTTGTAAGTAGAAAAGCTTTTTCGAATTTTATTAAATATAAAGTTCGATTTTTATAGATGAAATAAATTAATAAAAATTATTTTCAATCTTAATAACAGTAGTAGACAAGAATAATATGATTTTATGATTCTAATCATTTTTAAAACGCAAATTAAAATATAAAACATTGTCTATTTAGAACCTAGAGGTAATACAGGAGTTTCTATCAGGTAATTTCCATAAAAATAAAGGAAATTTAATGTAAGGGGATCTAACTTTATTTAAATCACAATTTAAACTATAAAGCCTTGTGTTGATTTTAGATTTAAAGGTTTGCATGTGAAGTTGACCGTCAAAATTTGTTATGAATCACTGTTATTCATATTATCAAAAATAAATATTGTCATATCAGTCCCCTTTAGTTTACGGGATACGTTTTAATAGTTTAACAAGGTTAAAAAAAGAATATATATTTTGATACATGTAATTATTTTACATTCATTTAACATTATTTTTTTATTTTTGATTTTCCTCCTTTTCAAAAAGTTAAAAAAAATTATTTTTTTAAAATTATTTTATTTTTATTAAGTATGTCAAATCAACATCTATCATGATACTCTTAATCACGTTAAAAATCTCTCAAACTATACAATATTAATGTGAAGTCAATGAAGAGAAGTTGGTACTATTAATTAAACACAACCTTTATTCCTGAAATGAATTTTGAAGATATACAAAGCAAATTTAACTGAATGGCTTCTCAAAGAAAAAATGTAGGAAAAGAAACAGAAGAAATGAAAAGAAAAGAGTTAATTAAGAGTTGACAACAGAACACTTTGTTCTAATTTCACCATCCGAGCCGGTGAGGACTTCAATGGCTCCCATTCTCTTCATTGACTGCCCAAACTCTGTGAAGAACTTGTCTTGTTTGGTCAATTCATTCACAATGTTTCTTGATACCTTGGCTGTTAAAAGGGCAGCATCTGATTGGAATAGACCCTTGTTTTGAAGAAGGATAGAATAATAGTCATTGTCAAAGGTGCTTGAACTGTCAGGATCCATCTCTACTGTAGTGGTGGTGTCACTCAGACTTTGACATTTTGTCTTCAAAAGAGTTGCATAAGTAGGATTCAGAGAAGGATCTTGATCACCCTTTCCGGTGAAGTTGAAAAGCCTGTTACTGAATAAGTTGCAATGACCTACCCCAATTGTGTGTGCTCCTATATATATATACAAACACGTAGCCAACAGGTTTATTTGTCATTCATATTATGTACATTTAACACAATTTTGCACAGAAAATGTACCTGATAACACAACCAGATCATGCACTGTGAGCTTTTTACTCGCAAAGCTTTGTCTGAGCTGGGTGATGTTGAAAAAAGGGGCTGGCAGATTGGCTAAGGCTTCACCTCTTATGGATACCCTCCCATCCCTTCTACCGGTAAGCACTTCCCACATAGGCTTATTGAACTGCATATATTACCAGTCAGCTACATGCATAACACAAGATTGCATATGAAAGTTTTGTAGTATGTATAATGTTCAGGTTTTGCATATACCTGGACAGAAACAGCATCCCTGGCGGCCAATGCAAGTATGTCAGCACATGATACAGTTCCAGGACATTTTTCCTCCAATGTTGCTTTTATGTCATCAATGACATCGAAGCCCGACAGAGATAAGTTCGGAATCGAATCCTTTTCTGCTGTGTTGCTGTCAGTGGAGTCCAGCAAAACCGAACCATCACAACCCTGAAATGTTGATTACAATTATATCTATGTCGTGTGAATCGGTGTGTAACTCTAAATTAGCTCTGTTGTATTTAAATTTGAAATGAGGCACATAGGGTGTAACAAAAATTATTAAAGAGCAGGAACTATGAATGTTTACCCTGACAAAACAATCATGAAAATGCAGTCTGATCAACTTTGCAGGCAATTCAGGCTTTGCTGAGACATGTTCCTGGATTTTGGTCCTAACAATGTCCTCGGCTTGAGAACATGTCTGCTTGTAGAATTTTTTTCTAAGGTTGCCACCTTGACAAACCCCTAGGATACAGAACAGTGCCAAACAATCTACAACAAAAGCTCTCATCTTCATCCTGTTCTTAATCCCTTTGTGTGACTAATATGCTATGCACTTGTCTTAACTCTTAATCAGTGAGTGCAGTGGTTGATTACAAGAGCATTTGCTCCCTTTTATAGGCCTTCCAAGTCATTTTAGTCTAGCAAATCCAGTTAAGCATTACATACAACATAATATTAAATTGTGTGAGAAGATTAATCTGAGAAGGAAACTTGTGCC